TATAACCAGTAGGATTGCCTGAGCATGTTAGAAAGATTTTGCCCCAAAAATGTTCATTAAAAATAGTTTTTAGATGTTATTTTGCTCACAGATGGGTTTTTCCCTATTGTAAGTTACAGATTCTCAAAACCAAGCTGGTAAGACATTTATTTTCATTTTGGAGTTTCTGGGTGATACTATGCTTTCTGATTAGACCTATTTGATTTAAAAAAAAATTTTAAGCTCTGCTGGAGGGTTTTCAGCTTTGGAAATATGAATGAAAAATAGACTCTCCATTGGAGACTCTCACAGGGTCTGAGTGGAACAAACCTGCCTGGCCCCTACTCCCACCTCAACAAAGTAGCCCTGTCTAAACTTGGGTAGAGTGATGGTGGCAGGTTTTGGCACCTTTTATTTGAGTGCTGGCACAAGGTGAGCTCTTTGAAAATGAATATCTATTCTATTGCAGTGTGCACTGCTCCAGCCGGCTAAATGGGCTTGCCTTCTGCAGAGAGGCAGTCCTGGAGGGCAGAACTAATGTGTGATTTCCCAGGAAGCTCTTCATCAGAACATCCATTGTCCTTTTGTTTCTGTATTAAAAAGATGTTTTTGCTTTCCTCTCCGTGTCCTTCCCGTTATTTTGTAGCTACAGCAATGAAACGTGCGCAGCAGTTGCCATTCTTTCTGTCCTTTGTAAACATGTCTTGTACTGGGAACTCACAAAGCCCCAGACATACCTCAGGTGTGTCCTGTGCTGTGCTTTTGACGTTTACTTAGGACTCAACGGGTCACCTAGAGATTCACACCTGGCTCTGCCTTTCCCTGGACAGCTCTCTCCCAAACAACGCCCTAATTTGCAGGGGAAGGGGATTCACTTAGAGAAAGCTTCCCGAATTAAAAAAGAACAGACTCAGATTCTCCAGGTAAGTGATACTGGCTTATACTGGTAACTAGGGAGCCAAGAGCTAGCATAGAGCTCCTCTCAGAAAGGAGGGAGGGCAGCAGGAACACTCTCGCAGACGTTTCTAAAACTATGGCAACTAAGTGAATTTTACAGATAAAATTCTGGTATAGTCCCAGCCAGCTCAAGTTATTTCAATTTAAGTTCTGTTCCCATGTACACACACACACACACACACACACACACACACACAACACACAAAACACAGACACACCAACTAAGGGTATATTACCAGCGCATTTCTATCGGCCAACTCTGGTGACAGCAACCATGACCAACAAACTAATTTTCTGAAGAGTAAAAAAGAAAAAAAACCAAAACCCCAAACCTCTCCATGTCTTGTAAATGGTTATTTTATACTGTTTAACATCCCCACAGACGCGAATTGGCCAGACAGCCCTGCTCCTTTTTCTAGGAACAGGTAAATTAACCACTCTCCTTTCCCCTCCCCCAAGACCCAGCTATGTCTAAAAGCTAAAATTTCTCTTTCCAAAGGGAGGAAAAAGAACGAATTCCATTAATGAATTACGTACATGGAATGTGGCTAGTCTAGGACAACTATATTTGTAAATAAATGGCTTCCTGTTTATTATGTCCGTTTTATTAAAAAACGATCTCGGATGCCTCTGGAGCACTTAATAAAACAAATATTCAACTTATGGTTTGATTTCCACTTTTTTTTTTTTTTTTTACTCAGTAGAAGGAAATCGAGTTAAATGGAGTCATGGGGGGGGGGTTGTTCATCATTCTTCCTCGTCCAGGCTGAACCTGGGGAAGAGTCACCTCTGAAGTTCTCACTTTTGCCAAAGTGTGAGCGAAGAGGGGAGGCTCCGTGGCAATGTTATTGGAATCAGTCTGGAAAGTTTCAGTTTTACCCGTGGATCTTTCAAAGCTGACCACGGCCTCCTTTTGCAGCTACAAAAGCGAAGCCGGCGCGCGATGTTGTTGGCGCGTGGATTGGGCACCGACCCGCTGCCTGGCACCCTTGCCTTCCCTGCCGCCCGCACTTGCCCACCACCGGCTCAGCATCGCTGCGCACGCCGAGGGCCCGTAGTCCCTGGGCGGGGACCGGGCGCGGGAGGTGATCGTGACGCGGCCGGGCAGTTGACGGCCCACCCAGCGTTCGTGGGACGCTGGAGTTCCCCATCTGCGGGAAGCAGAGGTGCGCGGGCCAGGCGCCTCCGGCCTCCCAAGATCTCCATCCCGAGTGCCGCGGCGCGCAGAGCCTGCGGCCAAAACTTGACAAAGCCGCCGGCCTCCTCCCGCCCTGCCCCCGCTCCATAGGCCAGTTTCCGAGACCTCGGCGCATTCCCAAACAATGCGACCCACCCGCGCGCTAGGCCAGTCCTCGCTGACCTCTGCTCCCCCCCCACACCACACACACACACACACACACATTCGGGCACATTCTGAGCCAGCACAACCCCTTCCCTGCGCCGCACCCTTGGGAAGAGACTCAGCGTGTACCCCTTATGGAAACACCAGGCTCGGATCTCTAGGCTGGGTCACAGTCTTTGAAGGCTCAGAGGATCCAGCTCCTTCTTGACTTTTCCTCCAGGGCTCCAGGGCTGGGACAGCGAGGAGGTGGAACTCAGAGGGAGCCGGGCAGCAGGCCCTGCACTCAGCCCTTCTGCACTCCACAGTCCGAGGAGAGGGAGGCGGCAACTGAGTTCCCTGGGAGAGGAGGTCGGACCCCAGGACGGAAAATCCGCCAGCGTGGAGCAGAGGTCGACAGGCATTTCTGCCTTTACTTCGCACCTGCGTTCACAGGGTGAGCGGCAGCACCTCTGGAACCTGAGTCTCCACAAACTCAGCGACTCCCCCAACCTTCCCAGAAAACTTTCACAACTTTCTATTCTGTCGGTCCTTGGGTTTTTTAGGTTATCTCCAGCCACCTCGTGGATTGCTCTGCCAACCGGGAACCCTTTTAGTCTCTAGGGCTCTCAAGGCCTGAGTAGTTCCAGAATAATAATAATAATAATTGTTATTATTAGGTTGGGAACCAGAAGAGGCTCAGAGGATAGTGGACTTAGGGGGAAGAGTAGAAATGTTGCTGAAAAGGGCTATTTCCACCTGTGTTTAAAAAGGTTTCATTTGACAATTATCAGTAACCCCGACAGACAACTTCATTTAAAAAAAAAAAAGATTTACTACTGCTCTTGAAAAGCCGTTATTTTTACATCGCTTTTAGGAAGATAGATGAACAAAACATCGCGTTTCAAGCCATTTTGATCTGTAATTAAATGGCAGGATCAGTTTGTATTCTCCTACAGCTTTTACAGAAGTTGCAGTGATCCAAAGTCGGGTTGCTGTGTCAGAGTGGCATTTTTATTAATGAGAATACAAAAAGCTTGCATATTCTTAGCCCCGCTTGAATTTAGTTGCTAAGCAACCGCTGTATGGTAATTCATCCGCGAAATTTAAATCTTTGAGAAAGGATGGTGCGTTTTGCTGAATGGTCGCCACGAGGAAAACAACTTGTGGGACTGGCCAGCTGTTACGGCCTGGCCAGGCCAAGCAGGGATCGGGCCAACCCACCGCGCCCGCCACCTCCCCACCTCGCCGCCGGGCCCTGCCCTGAGCCCCGAAAGAAGCTGGGCTTCTGGCGGCCGCTGCTCCAGGTTTCCAGCACCACCCTCCTCTCCGCTCCTCTAATCTCCCATTTCCATTTGAGGCAGGCCCTGCACCTGAGCAAGCCCTCTGCGTCCCTAGGGCTTGAAAGACCAGGCTGCCACTTTCCGCAGCCCCCTCCCCTCACCTGCACCCACAGGAGCGCGCGCGCGCGCGCACACACACACACACACACTGGCGCACACATCGTGTCACTGCAAGAAGGCCAGTTGCCCAGACCCCTCTGAGGTCACTTCCAGAGCCGGCTCTTCCTTGAAGAAGACCCGGCTCATAAAGAACTCAGCCCACAGCCCTCCAGGCCAGGAGGCAGCCACTGGCCGGCAGTGACATCATAGGCTCCTGCTCGCCACGCTCGCGCCCACATTTTAGGATACAGGAACAAACACGGATGTGAAATCAAGAATGAAAGAGTAATCTAATTAATAGGCCATGAGCCAGGCTAACAAAATCAAAGAATCTGATTACACAAGTACCCCTCTTGCTATCTCCGCTGCCCCCGCCCCCATCCATCTCTTTCAGCCTCCGCACAATTTCCTCTCCTAGACTGGAAAGCTCAGGAGGCAAACCCAGAGCCCTCTGATTTCCTTATTGAAATCAAGATCAAGCCCATGGTGGGGCTCCGCAGCCGGGAGGTCACGTGGGTGATCTTCAGGCCCTCAGACCAGCCGCCTGAGGGACTGGGATGATCAAGAGACCTACAGAACTTGGAGAGCTGGACAGGTGGCCCCCACACTTCGTACATATCACTCTTACAAACACCACCACCACCTGTACTGACTGCTTATGCTGTCAGGCACAGGACTAGGAGAAAGCGGTTCTTCACTCACAGGCATTTTAAGAGGACTGTTTTTCTTTTTAAATAACACAACTCTTTTTCTACATCACCTTGTTTCTTGGTCACCGATAACCTCAATGTCTTAACTCTCTTTCAACACCCTTCCTCAGCACAGAAGTCTGAACACAGCCAGGTATTAAGTTTTATCACTGATACATAGCATCTGTTCTAATCGGTCCAGTCAGCCACGTGCATTTCATGAAAGAATTCTTTAATTTCTATCCTTCTGCCTTGAAAAAAACCAGGTCCACCTCCTAAATAATTAATTTCAAGCCTGCATCCAGTGCCAATACTTGTTGCATCCATTTTAGAGTTTGATTAATTACCCTGGAACTTGGGCAAACTAAACTCCATGTGGAGAGAATGTCTCTTCCTTCAATTTAGTTCTGAAAGCTACACGTTATTGATGGATCTTACTCTATTTACATACAAATTGGTGCAAATATGCCCATCTCTTAAAATTCATTTTGTATAAATATATAAAAGTGTCATTTTTGATTTAGCTTGAAGAGGTTGATCATTTATTACAAAAATAAACGAATAAATACAACAGTATATTGTTGCTTCCAACAGGATAAATACTTTACAAATATATAATTTAAAAAACAAATTTAATTGTTAAAATTATTTAAAATAGTACACTTATCGATAAAACTATCAATCGTATATACTGTATTTAATATTAGAACCAATTATTCTCTGAATGTTGAAAACCATTCATACAAAACAGATTATGAGCATGGTAATGAGCAAACACTGGAGGCTACAGGGAAGCAGGGGGACTCTCTAAGATCGATAATGAACAGTTCTGTTTTGGAACAAAGAAGTAGTCCTTGGCTAAGTACTTAGCAAAAAAATATTAAAAGGCAGAGCAACAACAGCACAGTGACTGTTTTAAATACACCTTGAATGATTTATCGCCCAGACTTGCAGGGAAAGACGATTGGGTGAATGGGATGACTGAGGCTTGGACAACGGATCAGGAGCCACAGGGGACCGACTACAAACTATAAATGGGCCTAGTTTGGGATTAGCCAGATTGATGGAACAGAACTTTGTCACTTTCCTTTGGGTTGGAAGGGAAGGAGGGGGTGGATGGAAATGGAGGAAACAAATGGGCACTTTACGAAGCACAAGACACTTGCTCTGCAAAGGAACACAATGACCAAATTCATTAAAAAGATCTGGTGATATATAACAATATTTTCATTATTTACGTGTGTAACAGTATCAGCCTTAGCACAAAACCTCTCAGTTGTAGCTGTTCTCTTTTGTTTTTAACCATGAATTTCATTTTGTAAATAAATTCAAAGGGTTGATTTTTTAAAATATGGCGTGCAAGCACTAGCTCACTTTTGAAAATGCAAAATAATGAAATAAAATGGTCTTGCTTTTCCAGCTTCTCCAATTAAAAGTTACTCTGTTACCCCTAAATCAGGGTTTCTTCCAAAGTAATCAGCAAAGGTTTCTTTTTAATAGAAAACTGTGAAATTTAATGGCAGTTCTTTTGTCATCAAGTAAGCAAAGAGCTCCTAAAATTTTAAATAGACCCATTCTCTGTCTAATCAACTACTACCATTCCTGTAGGGAAAAACAGGATTTCATCTCACGTGCCAGTAGTGTCCACCGTATAAAAACAACCACACCCAATCCTCAGCTTTCCAATAAGGCCTTCTTTGCTTGCCCCTGTAGACCCTCAAAAAATGACGAAGTTTGTCCCCACCCCACCCCCCACTCCAGGTTGTAAATTTGCTGGGCAGAGTGATTACAATAGCAAGAGAAGTAGGGAAACAAGAAAACCAAGAAAAGTAAATTGTGGTTTCTTGTTTTCATTTTTGTCTTCTCTCTGTTTAATAAATATGGCCTTTTTCAGATTTTGCAAATCAAAAGATTGTGATTTTTAGTACGATTTAGTGTTTAAAATAATGCAACCCAATACACGGCCATCTGGCTGGGCTTGATTTATGAAAGTGACACAGGGTCTGTCTGGAAGAAATAACCGTTCCTTGTTGCTCTCACAGTTTTCCGGGGTTTTTAACCCCTGCATCCATATCATAGGGAGAGGAAGTGGAGATGAGAGAAGAAGGCAAAAAGTGAGTGACAGCTAAATGAGATTAGGGGGAAATTAATCTATAAAAATCACTGCTTTATCACCTCAAAATACTTTTTAAAAAGTACATGAAAGGAACCAACTAAGCAGACTTTTGTGTCTTTAGTACTCACAACCTGAGGCATCACACTTCCATTTTCCCACATTGTAAATATTGATACATTAACATGATAAATGTGACCGCTCTGCAGGGTGTATCTAAGGAGTGATCCAAAAAGCTAAAACCTCCAGCACCATTAAAGAAATTACAGAATCACACTAGGGAAAGACCAAAACACAGAAATGTAGAATCTCACGTCTGAGCTGGTAATCACAGAGGGTTATGCAGAGTGGACTATATTCAAGATTTTAGAACTACATTCTTACATTACAGGAAAAGCAAACAAAACAAAACAAAAAAACAAAAACAGCTCAATAATTTAAACGTAATCACATATAGTTATTAATGGGAAGTAATTGATATAAAACATTTTAGAGACTGGTAAGCTATTTTTCACAACTATTAGTCTTCAGAAAAAGAGGAAAGAGACATAGCAATATGACGGGGGACGAAAGGATAAAGAGAGGCTAAACTTTGGGGGGGGGCTCTGTATTAACTATTAATAACCAGTTAACACATTTTTACTGGTGACATAGTCCAATCTTCTGATAAAGATGGTAAAGGACCCAGGTATCCCCAAGAAAAGTACCAGTATTTAGACAATCTCCCCTATAAACACTAAAAACACCCACTAAAATTCAGGGAGAGAAAAATATTGTGAAATTTACAGTTTACCAAGGAGTGACTACTAAGTTAAAGTACTAGCGTTTTCTGGCATGTCTGTCCTTTACTCTAGATTTCCAAATACACCTTAAGTGAAGCAGGCTCGACTTGACTTCCTCAGCACTATCACTTAAGGATTTGCATTAGTAAAAAAATATTTTCTAACGAACTCTTTTCTTCCCACACAGTGTTTATGCATCAGACACAGACTATTTCATTCTAACAAATTTATTTTCTCGATCAGCTCTTACGGAATCACTACTCAAATTAAATTACAATCAAATGATCACATCAAAAGATACCCTTATTACCTAACAACTGTCCATATTTTCATTTCATTTTGATTTGTGCTCGTCTGAAAAAAACACGTAATACAAGATCTGGGGAAAAATAAATTACCGTTTTGCAGCAGTTCATAAGTATTCTGAATAAAATATTAAAAGAAGTCATTTAATGAAAATATAAAGCAAATATTTTTAGATCAACAACGGATCTAACAATTCTATATTGCCGTCTTTTGAAAAGTCTGTTTATTAAAACCTACCAAAAACACTGCTTGGAAATGGCAGTATTATATAATCACATCCACAGCACCCATTCAATCAAAGTTGGCAACAGATTGAGGAGCGAAGTCCAAGAAGTGCAGCGGTTGGTGCTCAGTCTTTCTAAATCCCTTTATCTGAGTCAGTCCAGAAATAAAAAATTAAAAATATTAATAAAAAAAATATTAGCGGTGGAATCTTTAGGCATCCTCCACCCGAGTGACAGCCGTTGCAGCCGGGGTTGGTGGCTGGGCCTCGCTCAGTGCCTAGTCCCCCCGCCAGCGCCCCGGCTGGCCGGGCCTCTCTCACTGCTCGGCGGATGGGCGGATGTCCCCTTCCCCTCACTCATCCCTCTGCTCTTTCGTGATGCTATTATTTCCAAGGTTATTTGGAGGAAACATATTCTTTTTCTTTTGGCTTTGCTCTTCAGTTTGTTAATTTCAGAAGCTGTGAATATTGTTTTTGCTGGAGACTGTACTTTTTTTTTTCTCCTTTCTATTTCATAGTCAGTTTGTCTCCAAATGACTTTAATATGGCCAAGAAGAACAGGGTCCCGGAGCACAGAGTCATCCCTGATTAAACCCGGTGCCTGTGCTTTCTTTCAGGTCGCTCCCAGGAAAGAAAGTTCCGGTGGGTCACTTTAGGCAGCCCTTAGGAGGGAGGGGCGCTTTTATTTTTCAGAGGAGAGGACGAGGCAGGTGCTAGGCGCTGTCCACCGTCGCCTTGTAGGACTTGATAGGGTGAAAAAGACCTCCCGAGTGCAGGTTTGGTGCGCTGGGCATCTTCACCCTTCTTTAAAAAACAAAAACAAGAACCAAAAACGAAACACCACCACAGTATAAACGGGATCTCGCGATCGCCCCCTTTTTCTCTTCCGGTTTTGTTTGTTATATATGTATCTAAAACCGTCTGGGTATTTATTATGCTTGTTTGTTTTGCCCCTCCTTCCTTGGGCTTCAAAAAATGTCTCCTCGACCCGTCTCTCTTTCTCTTTTTTTTCCTCCAAGGGCCGGCATGCCGGTCTTTGGGCTGCGGGGACGGTGGCGGTGGTGACAGCGGAAGCGGCGGCGGAGGCCCGTTCTTCGCGGCGGCCCGGCCCTCACTGCACGCTTGTCTGCAGCCCGTGGTGCGGCGGCGGCGTGTCGGCGCTCACGGCGCCCACCTGCGAGTACACGTCGTCCGGCGTCTGCTGTTGGATCCCGGGCGGCGTCATGCGCTTCTCCTTTTGGCGCCGGTTGCAGAACCAGACCCGCACCACCTCCTTTTCGAGCTGCAGGCTGTCGGCCAGGTTGGTGATCTCCTGCGCCGAGGGCTTGGGGCACTTGAGGAAGTGGCTCTCGAGCGCGCCCTTGACGCTCACCTCGATGGAGGTCCGCTTCTTGCGCTTGCGGCCCTGCGCTGCGATCTTGTCGATGCTCGTGGGGCTGCCGGTGCTCGAGTCCGCCTCCTCCAGCCACTTGTTCAGCAGCGGCTTGAGCTTGCACATGTTCTTGAAGCTCAGCTGCAGGGCCTCGAAGCGGCAAATGGTGGTCTGAGAGAACACGTTGCCATACAGCGTGCCGAGCGCCAGCCCCACGTCGGCCTGCGTGAAGCCCAGCTTGATGCGCCGCTGCTTGAACTGCTTGGCGAACTGCTCCAGGTCGTCAGACGTTGGCGTGTCCTCGTCCGAGTGCGCGTCGTGGCTGTTGAGCCCGGGCCCCGCGCCGCCGCCGTGGTGCGGGGGGCCCTGCGCGTGGTGCGGGTGAGGCGGGTGCGCGTGCGCGTGGTGGTGGTGGTGGTGGTGGTGCTCGGCCAGCTCGGGCGTGTCCCCGCGCACCAGCCCGGGGTGCACCAGGCTCTGGGCGCCGCCGGCAGCGCCGCCGCCGCCGCCGCCAGGCCCCGGGGGCGCGCTCAGCATGCCGTTCACCGTGAAGCCCCCGGGCTGCGAGTACAGCAGGCTCTGCGGCGGCGGCTGCTGGCCCGCGGCCATGGACGGGAGGTGCGCGG